CAAATGTCCTGGGCATGATTGGGGTGCCCCAAGTTAAAGCAAAATATTTCACCCTACAACTGAAAATTTTGTTCAACTAAAAACTTGAAATATACATCCATTTGTGTGTATTTTATATCTAAAATATGTGCGTGTATGTGAGTGTGCATATGTATATTAAAGACAAAAATATTGCTAAGTTTATTTCTCATTGCTATCCTCCCTTCTTAGTTTTTGATGTGTATCTAACACATTGATCAGATCCAGTTACAATTTCATGTAGAGCTTCACTCAACAAATACAAGCAGAAGCAAAGGAGTTTGTTTTGAAGTAACATTGTGAAACTGGGCACAAGATGAAGCCAAGAGTTTAAAACGGTACCGATACTTCTTGGGTGAGGCTTGTATGAACAAGCACCTTTGGAAGCGAAAGAAAATCTATAAGGCTCACATGTAAAGAGCTTTCTATCTAGAAATGAAAAATTTGATCAACTTAAAGCAGTAACAATACAACACAACAACACAAACAAACAAACAAAAAACCCCCAGACCCATTAGTCTATGTTAAGTAACATGCATCTGGTACAGATAATCATAGTGAACAGAGAAATGCACCACAAACTACTCAGAGCTTTCTGAAAAAGGCAAATGATGACCCTTGTGAAAGTTTGAGGCTTGTCGCAACTAATTTACCAAAAAAAATTAGAAAGCCTTTCCATCCAGGCGGGTGCTACCATCTCTGCTTGGTGTCAGGCTCCTGGCATCTCTCTCCAAAGCAGCTGGACCTTAATTTGTTGGCAGGAAGACACTAGAGTTAACAGATGACTTCTCGCATGCAATATCATATTAGACACTGCCTAAGCTATTGTGTATATGCTGGCTAGTCATTTGGGTCTGCAAGCATTTCTTCACAGGCATAGAAAAATACCCCATGATGTGCACATCCACTCGCTTGTACCACAGCTAAGCGCATCCGAGCTATTGCATCCTGGTTTGGTGTTGTACCAGAGACTTATGTGTGGTTTTGTGTTATTAATCAACATAATAGATTCTGAGAGGGCAGCAGACGATTTACGTTCCCTTTCTGTCAATGCAGACAACCAGCGTTGCTGTTGTATGGCTGAAGGGCTCTTGCATGCATTCAGTTCAGTCCCACAAAGTCGTCAGGACTTCAACGTGAGCAAATGAAACACAACAGGCGAAGAGTTTGGCAACAAGTGACCATTGTTAGGTGGATCTGGGACTACCTGGGCAACAATAACATCAACAAAAACTATTATATTGTCCCCAGAAACACAAACTAACCACTTATAAAAAAAGCTCCCAGCTCAGACCAGTTCATGGTCCAGCCAGGTCCACTAGGTCCAACCCACACGATAACTCCATCTAGCACCTTGCCTTCCTCCTGTGGCCTTCAAGTGGGACTGCATGTTTCAGAGCTCTGTGTTGAAGCCTGTTAGCAAAACATCCAGGCACACAAACCTGTGACAAAGTCCTGGAGGTCACCCAAAATAGTTACTCAAACTCGAGCAAGCAATACCCAGCTAATTTTTGATCTTACCAACATTTTAAAAGCAGTGTTTTACATATCCTGCACTTGGTTAAAACCACCTAGTGAAAGGAGGAAAAACATCTGCCCTGTTGCATCGTCTGCTGCAACCCAGACTGGATCCAAATGAGAACCAGGACTGTGCAAGCATTCAGCCATGCTTTGTTGCAGTCCCCACTGTGCTCCGTGTTAAAGGCCATGCCATTTCAGTGAGTAATCAATATCTTAATACAGCCAGTAAATGGCAAGGAGAGTTTGTATTTATCTTGTTACTCCAAGACTGTTCTTAAAGCTGAGTTTGCAAGCCTGTAAAGGAGCCGGCACTACCCCAATGACTGGGATGGAATTCTGTGTTGGCTTCCCATAGGGTTGGCCACTGAGATGACAGTAAAAGATGGTAACAGAGTAAGTGAACTGAGATAAAGCCAAAAGTAAGGCCCACAAATCTAGCAGTGCAATCTCTGCTCATAAATATGACCTACCAAGTGGACATTTTGGACAGCCTTTAGCCTGACAGAGAAGGACTGATAAACCGTTGGTATGAAAATACCATGATGTTTTCACAGGCAAAAGCCATGTAATTTGACATCTGTTTTGCTTGCAGGATAGTGGTGGAAAATTCAGCACCAATACATTAATCTAGACATTGCTGTTTGAAGAGCCAGTGATTATTTGGATTATCAGTGTAAGCCATTTGGTCCCCACTGCTTCAGAGCCAGGAATCCAGAGACATCATTTTGCCTGTTGCTGAAGTTTAGCCAACAAGACAGTTTCGCTGGGATGGTAACTATAAATTTAGGTGATGTGGATATGAAGGATATTTTCTGATGATGAGACAGATTATAATAATTGACAATAATAAAGAAAATATAAAGGTTGATGGGGGCTGGGGGAAGAGAAAGTGAAAGAAAAAGAAAAGAGAAAACAAAAGAGAGAAAATTAAAAACAAAAAGAAAAAAGATATGACTGGTACCTCACAGAAATTCGCAGGAGGACCCATAAGAGGCAGGATGCTATAAGGAGAATTAAAATGTGATGTGCAAGCTAGGTAGGCTCAGGGTGTATTTTTCAAAAAAACCCTGCCCTTCTTAGCCCTTGTGTATGTGAAGAGTAATGGTAGGACACCACCAACCTCTTTACTCCCCCTCAGCATTTCCCAGAGGTCATCAAGAGCCAAACTGAACTGCAAAATCAGTAACTGTTCAGTGTGTGGCTCTACAGACCTGTTGCAAAATATCCATCATAACTTCACGGACCACAGAGCACAGATAATATTTTAGGAGCTGTTGCAGCACATTCTTCTGGCAAAGCATAGCGCACCAGAGACAGATTGGACCTCTGTGCAAACAGCTTATCTCCAAACCATATCAATTATTGGAACAAGGCAGCAATATGTATTTGCAACAGGGCTTTTTGCCCGTGTAGCTCTGTCAGTCAAATGCCACCAAGAGATGGGCCAGGAAAGCTTCACAGCAATCCAAGTCTGGACAGAGTAAATTCCAGTTTGACTTTAAAGTCTGTAAAACTCTGAAGACCAGAGCTCATCTTTGTAAGCAGCACCCAGATCAGTTTGCCTGTGCTCAGGGTTAGACAGCATGAGAGGCAGAGCTGCATAACGGTGTCAGTACTGACATACGGCAAATGTCTCTTCATATTTGTCAGACACTTTAGATCACCTGCACCTCCATGCACCCCATGGCAACACAGCTGTCCTGTGAGCATCCCACTTTGCATGGCTAACACGCCACAGCTGGAAAACTGCCTTTAGCTGAAGGGTATATCTTCTAACAGTTGGTCCTCAAGCAGAGCAAAGTCAGGTTGAAGGAAGGTGATGGGGCATCTGGACTGTCTCCTGTCTGACTTGGTACATACCTCCCCACAGTGGTAACTCTTTCCTGGGCTTCCCTATCCACCCATGGACATCCATGCTCAACACCTAGCCCGGTTCTGAGTTCTGCTAGGAGCTGCACTGTGTACAGCCTACCTCCTGAACTGCGGAGCAGAATGAGTGCTCTCAGCCCTTTTCCCATCTTCTCTTTCCCCATCACATCACAAGGTAGCCCCAGCAGCAGGTGAGTGCAGCCCATCCTGCTCTCATCAGCAAGTCTGGTCCTTGCCGAGCCTCTGTACTTTCAGGATGTCAATTTTGTTCTGTTTATATGCTAGCAAAATTACCATGTTGCTTTGCAAGCAAGTAAAGCTGCTGAATAATCAGTCTGGCCAGCCACACTGGCAGAGACTTAAAGTCTAAGAGATTTCAGATAGAATGTTGTTCCCCAGTGCAGGAGCTATTAACTTCCATGAACTGGTAGGTGCTTTTCTCCTACAAAAGCCTTATCACTTTAAGAAAAAATCAGCAAGAACCTGTGTGATGTTTTCAAGCCTCCTCTATTAATCTTTCCCAGCCCTCATTAATTGCAGGTTGTGGTCAGCCAACAGGCAGCAGTCTTAGCCCTCCTTTTCTCCAGCCATAGCTCTATGTTCATTCCAGCTGTTTGCCCTCACGCTTACAAAAAGCAACAGCCCATGGACTGCAAGAATACCATTATTATGAGCAACCTTCCTGGTGAACGTTTAAAATCATCCTCTTGACTAATGGATCCCCTCCTCCCCCCTTTCTTTCCAGTTGAGTAGTAATGATTTAAGCAGATTAACTGGTTAACCAAATGTCATTGACACAGATCATATCCTTTATACAAAATAATCCTAATACTGGGGTTCATCCAAAGGTAATGAGAAAACATTTTCGTCAATGCCAATGGGATCAAAATGAAGTTCAAAGTGAATTCTACTAAAGGCATAACCATAATGAGTGTGATCAATAAACTAAGCCATGGTTTCCTCCATTTGCAAGAGAATTTGCCCAAGATCCCTGCAAATATTAGTGCTTTTCTTCCTCCTTGCCCTTTGAAGCATCACCACAGAGCCCCACAGAGCTGCACTGCAGCTTTACCTGTGGTTGCATGACACAGGACAGCTTGCCCAAAGAGGCAGCACACCTCCACTGAGACCCAGCAAACATCAGCAACTGCTGGATGCTTCATTATTGCACAGACTGGAATAAATAAAATAATACTAAACCCCTCTCAATGATCCATGACAAACCTACCCCAATTCTCATGGTGGGGAGGCAGGAATTCTGTGCTTTCAGGTCCTAACACGTCATGGGGCTCAGCTGGTGGCTGCAGACAGAAGCAAATGTCCCCAGTCTGGGTGCTGATAGCGGCAGTGTGTGCAGCTCATCGCTCTTGGGTCTCTGTGAAGAAATACGAGCTTACATAAAGGATTTGCTTTTGTTGTCTTTAGATTGCCTTCAATTTGGGTTGAATAGATGTGCTTGGTTTAGTACGCACATTGTAAGACACGTGCTAATGTGCCTAGCACAAGGGGCTATTGGCATTTTATGATTAAAACGCAGGAAAATGAGGCCACTCGCATGCACATAAACAACATCTCTTGTTTCTCTCTTCCAGTAACTGTGACTGTGGGAGGACAACAACACTTGCTGGGACTTTATGACACTGCAGGGCAGGTAAACTACTGCAAAACACTTATCATTTTCCTTTCCTATGGTTTTTTTTTACTACCATATACTGACATTTGTTGTTCATGCTGTTCGTGTTTGGGTTTTTTCAAATACTAACAATCAGTTGTGAGTTGCAATGGCTGTACTGCTGACCTTTTTGTTTTCCATATTGAGCTTTCACTCTGGTTCAGCAATAAAACACACATAAATACACTCATCCCTAAGACTGAATTTTGTCTAAGCAAAAATCTAAAGCCTGATTAGGCTGGTCAGCCTCCCATATATCCATCTCTTACTGCAAATATGACCTTTCATATACAGTCAGTGTTTTCTTAAATTTACCACATGGTGGCATTGAAGATACAGAGAACTCCTGCTTCCAAGATCAGAAAACTAATAAAATACAGCATCACCCTATCGATCACTACCTATTGATTTTTTAAATGATAACCCAGCCAGATTGGCATCTATCTCAACATCCTTCTTCCAGGACAAGGGTGTCCATTACAAGAGAATCTGTACCTCATGCTTACTTACATGTATAATGCTTTCACTATTTCCACTGTCCACAGTCTGGTAAAGTGCACTTGCACTAAAAGTTTGCAGAACAACTCTGGTCTGTGGGCTGATTTCATCCCCCTGGAGAGGAAGAGAGAGTGTTTCTCACCACCTTGCTCTGCTAGTAAAAGGGCAAAAGAGGGTACAGGGAGCAACATATTTTCATGGTGAAACTTTCCTCTCCTACCTCCAAATGTCAGCAACCGACAGAATAAAGAAAGGACCACAGCCTGCACAGAAACCTTGCAGAAAATCACCTGCTGAGGGGCAAGGGAGTAGGTCCCAGGCTCCCGTTCCCTCCCAGCCTGGGAAGGTCGGAACCCACATCCACCAGCTCCTCAGGTCACAGCTGGAACTGGAGACACCAGGAGAGGAAAGGAGATATGGGAGCCTGCTTCACTCCCTTGGACCCAGGAGCCCTGGATACAGCGCCTTGCTTTCAGGAGCACTTCTTGGCTGTGCTTTTTTTGGACATGACTGACTGCTATGAAATGCATAAACAATGCAGAAGGAGACCCTCCTGTCTCAGAAGGCCACTTACTACAGAGAATACTTCGCAGCAGTACACAGAGGTCAAAAAACTCATCAGGACAAACTGTCATTTCCAGAAAAACCTGCACTCAGCAGGACTGGAGCTTTTATGCTTTAGGTTTCACCTTTTTTTCATTTTATTCCTTTTATTCTGTCTGTGTAGGCAGCAATGCTCCCTTCATAGCTAGCTTGGTGTCACTTACCATCCACCCATCCTTTCTATTCACATTATGGATACAGATGATCCAAAACCAGTCCCACAATATGATGCAAATCCCGTCCCATGTTCGGTTTTGTATTCTACACTCACAAACACAGAGCTTGGAGTGTCTGCCATGATCCAGCAGGGTGGCAAGCCTTTCCAAATGAGACGTGGTGTTTTATCCAGTTCTCAGTCAGATTTTACCCAGTGCCTTATTATTTCTACTTCTTTTCTGTAGAGCTGACATAGTTCCACCTGCCACCCATTTCCTCAGCGACGCATCCTCTTATTTGTACTCCTGAGCCAGGAGAAACACTAATCTGTGACAAACTTCCCCCCTCCATCCACAGTCATTTTGCCATCTCCTGCTTCAAACTGGCCAGAACACCACCTGCCCCCAAGCACCATTTCTAACACATCAGGCACGTTTCCCTTTCAGACCCTAGTCCGGAGGACATGGCCATCTAGTCAAAACTCAGAGCATAAATCACTTCTTGATGACTAGATTCTATCTCCGTGGAGGCTGAAGGGATGATGCTTCCCACATGCTCAAGCTATAACAACAGATCATCTGGGTTGTTTCCTCCCTCCTTCTCCTTGTGTTGTGTGGCTTTGCAAAGGCATCAGTGTGAAGTCATAGCCAAAAATAGCATTTGACATTACAATGCTATAAAACATATGGTAATGAAATAACAATTGGAAAATGTACTCTTGCAGCAGGAGCCTCTGTCAGCCTGAAGGGAGAGCTGGCAGAGACCCCAGATCTAGGGTATCTGGTTTTCTGCATCCCTGGCACAAACAGTTCTAGGAGGAAGAAAACAGTGGTCTGTTTTTCCCCAGGCAGGACTCAGGTGTGGACTGCTTTAACAGGCTGACATGGCAGGGATCATATGTGAGACCAGCACGGCAGCAACGTAAATAAAGCAAAGTTTGCCATACTTTCTGGGCCTGAATACTGCAAGGCTGATGGCAATGACAGAGCAGGGAGGGAGCAACACCAGTTGATGTATCTTGGCCTTGGCAAGTCACAGGCAGGTAATTTAGCAAGGCCTGGTCTGTCATTGGCAGCAAAATACAAGCATGAAACAAATTAATAATCAGCTACAGCCCAAGCCCATGAGGACTCCAGTCCCTTCCCAAACACCACTGCCTGCAGCACCTCTGGTTACATCCCATACCCATGCAGAGTCTAGTCTCTTTTTACACTATTCATTTGCTTGACTTCAGCTATCTCTGAATGAGAAATGATCCTGATGTACCATATCTCATAGTGGTCCGTTGAAAGGTTTTATAGCCTTCTCCTGGAAAGCAGGTACAAACAGTGATCAGATCCCTGTCTGGTGTGGTTTGGAGGCTCCTGCCAGCCCACAGACACAGGCACGTACAGAAGCCCAGGTCAACTCTTCTCCACCACAAGTGTGGTTGTGCTTTAACGCATCCATGCAAACCCCATGTGCCCCGACAGGAGATGAGACCTCTGCCATGCGATGCATGGCTGTTCCTCCTTATGGTTTATATAATGTTCTGTGCTGCTAATACAAATCAGGAATGCTCCTCCTGAAAATGTATTTTCTAGGGGCTCCAAAGGAGCAAGCCAAATGAAATGCATATTCCTGTAGCTGTCTCTGCCAGGTAGAGCACCTGGGGCTTTTAGTTTGTAGTTTAAATGGTACAGTAAGTTCCAGCCCCTCTAAATATGCACGCTTGGAATACTGAAACTCGTTATAGTTAGCCCATTTCTTTCCAAAAACTCCTAAATCGTGATTCCTCGAGGGCTTGCTGCCACCGCGTGGCTGTTTTAGGAAGGTGATTTGCACAGAGAAGACCTTTGCCAAGCACCAAGTATCAGCCCATGTAGACTCTGGTACAAACAAACTTAATCTCAGATTTGATGTTCTGGTTTAAAATAATGCCCCATAATCAGGCCAGGTCTTCCTAATCCACAGCATCCCCATAAAACTCATCTGTCTCCATAATGCAATTGCTCCATTGATCCCATCGTCTTGGCATCCACTTTGCCTCTATTAACTCATCTGCTGGAAGCTGGGTGTCACCTCCAGAGCCTTGTATAAATCTCCTCCCACCGACTTTGCTTCTTCATGGCCTGTATCACTGATGTTCCCACAAGCACCTTTGAAGTTTTTTTCCTTGCTATTCCCTGAACATGGAGAATCCACTCTTTCTGATATGTCCAAACACCTCCTTTGCCTTGTAAAATCCTTCTTCAGATCAATAATTTCTATGAGACTGGAGTGACATAGGTCAGTTGACAAATCCTCTGGCTTTACCCCAGATGCTGTGGCTATGGCGCTGGAGGTTGTAACTGGTAATTTTCCTGGTGAGGTGGGCTTGGGAAAATGGACATTCACTTAGACAAAACAAAACACTTTGTTTGTAGTTCAGGATGTTTCTTTGAACTTCTTTTTAATGATGCAGAGCTAAATTGGGCCTCATACTTCCTTTCAGAATAAATAATTAGGGTTTTTTGTTTAGAAAAGGTTGGAGCAGCCTGTTTTTCCATAATCCATTAGTATTTTTCTAGAACTAGTGTTGATTCAGAAGTAGTCTGGGCCATGTTATCACTGCATACTCAGTAAACAAAAGACTTCGGCAAGAAGATTTACCAGGCTCAACTCATAATTAAAACCCTCTCATTTGCTGACACAATCAAAACAAGACAGAAGCAAGGCTGAATTGAAACACCATCTAAGCTGGGCACACAGTGATATAGTTCTACATCAGTTTCTCCTGCAGGACAGGCAGCAGCTTGCATTGCTCCTGCCGCTAATGTGGGTTTTCCCTACCTTAAATAAATGTTCTCAAGTTTGAGCACCTGCATACATTTTTGGCTTTCCTTTTTCATTGAGTTGTTAACTATTTCAGTGTCTGCAAAGCAATTTTCATACAGTTGTAACTAAAAGAAACCATACTGTAGAGGTTTGAGGCTTGCCCAGAATGAAGAAACTATAAACTAAAGACCTAGGTCTCAGTGAGGCTTGACAGCACATATATTACTGTTCCCCCTACACTCTAACTTTGTGTTCCTTTCCCCTTTTTTAATCCTGGACCCCCCCCCCCCCCCAAAAAAAAAAAAAAATGTTTTCAGAACAGAAGCATCTGTTTCATTGCACTGAAATTTTCTAACAGGTTTCATTGAAAAAACTCTCCAGACACAGCTACATGTGCTCTCGCTATCAGAGTCAGTCTACTCCTTTCACCTGGCTTGCAAAACCTCTGCTCACTTTCAACATCTCAAGCCTGAAAACAGACCTAAATTATTCCTTGAAACTCAGCTATCAAAGCCAGCTCACAACATGCCACAGCTGTGCTTTGAGCTGTTTGAAAATTCACCCTTCTCACAACTAGCCCATAGAGAAAACATCTCTTTTTCAGCAGTCCAGGGCCTGTGGAAACACTGGATCACCACCAGTGATTTACCCAGCCACTGCAGGCTGGATTTGATATGCTTTGTGCTTTCAAGATGAATGTCTTCTGCTGACTGACACATTGCTGCATACTGTAACATGACTGCGATGGATCAAATAGCCCAGAGACACCATTTCTTGTGTATTGTCATGTCTGTAATGCTTACTGGGGAATAGAAAGCCCATAATATTAACAGAAAAGCCCCTAGTGATGTGTGCTATCAGCAAATATTATCTAGTGGTGACAGTGAAATGATACTTCCCAGGATGGTATCACATTGCCAAAGGGCTGAGGCTTGTACACATGGCCTCAAGATCAATTTTTGTTATTCCACAAGTGATGGATGCTGTTTAGCATTACCCTCTACGCCACCGTCACCACAGATAATGCACACACAAACAAAATGTGATAGCTTTTTCGGGTAAGTTGCTGACAAAACAGGCGCCCCTGGCCCACACGGGCTGATTTTGCCCTCAGCAGCTCCTCAGAGGTTCTGAGTGTGCGTGAGCGTGGAAGGGCAGTGTTGAGCAGTTCATCAAGAGCCAGCGTGATGCCCCCATCTGCAGTTATCCCCCAGCCCATAACACACTTGCTGTTTTCCCCCTGCAGGAGGACTACAACCAGCTGAGACCCTTGTCCTACCCTAACACAGATGTCTTCTTGATCTGCTTCTCGGTGGTGAACCCCGCCTCGTATCACAACGTCCAGGAGGAGTGGGTGCCTGAGCTGAAAGTCTGCATGCCCAATGTGCCTTATGTCCTCATAGGAACACAGGTAATCCTTCTCTGGTGCACTGCCAGCTATCTTCAGAGCAAGGGGTCTTCAGATTGAGGGGAGTCCTACTCCACCCCAGGGGTCGCTGGAGGCTGAGCTCTGTGGAAAGGTTTCCTGTTTAACTTCTGATGTGAAATGCAGACAGGTAAGAGGAAACCTCAGGGACTGGAATGGAAACCAACATGCAGATGTCCCATCATACTAGTCACAGCTGACAAAAGTCATCCCATCTGTTTATTCAAATGTATATTAATGGGGCAACAAGGCATAAATACCTATAGGGAGAAAAGGTTTCTGACATGCCTTTAGTGAGGAGAAAAAATCATCAGAGTTTGTGGTTAGAAGCAGAAGCTAAACTTCAAACTAACTTTTAAGAATGGGAATAATTAACCAAATGACTTACTTAGAGACATGGCAAGGAAATAGCATCCTTTCAAGTTTTGATATCATTATTGCAATTAGTGACTCACTGTCCTGCTTGCATTATAGCGGATGTTAGACAAAACGATTAAATCACTTTATTTTGGCCTTAAAATCTATAAATCTATCAATAAAAGTAAACAGGTTTTTAAAAAGCCTTAAATATGGGTTTGCCTCCAGGACACAGTGGTTAGAGGCTGAGAAAAGTAGGGGTAAGATCATCTGGAAAACTTCTGAACACTGGACAGTAACCTAAGCCGAGTTAGATAAAAAGATCAAATTCTAGTCAAAACGAAAATCTTCATGCCACAGGAAAGTCCAGTTATGCACTGGAATAATCTAAATCACCCCTTTTAAAATAAAAGTATTACCCTTTGGATCACACTCTCTGAAAATGGATGGGTTTGAAATGCCAAAATGCTTCACTTTGATGTTTTCCATGGAAATAAAGGATTTTGTTTCAAGTCAGTCAGAGTGAGCTGTGTCTGTCTGGCCTGTCAGAATGTTTTTTGGATAATGCAGTGCAAGATCACAGCAGACTCCTTTTTCTGAGTTGGTGTCTCAGACTTCCACCAACGCTTTTCAAGATGCCTTGTGAGAGCCACTGAGAACCACATCTTGACTGTACCACACCTATTGAGCTGTGGTCCGGTAGCTTGCCAATGAGAACTAATCCATGTTAAACACAAAAAATAAAATAAAATAAAATAAAATAAAATAAAATAAACATGTGCAGTTCATTTCTGAAGTATCATCTGAGACAAGAGGACAGAAGCCCTTATGCAAGGACATGACTGTGAGTTTGTAAAGCTATGAGTATCTGTCTCAAGCATTAGAGCAAGGCAGTTCTGAGCTCAGGGTTTGTGTATTTTCTAACTAGATTGACCTCCGGGATGATCCCAAAACTTTGGCTCGGCTGCTTTACATGAAGGAGAAACCACTCACCTACGAGCATGGAGTGAAGCTAGCAAAGGAGGTAACAGCTTTTTCTGGGGTCCCACACTATAAATTGATCACAGCTTTTGAATGGGTTTCTTTTGTTAAAGGTGAACTCCTCTGGGGCACATTGGTTTGTCCCAGCCAGAGATTAAAGCCTCTGTTCAAATAGGCTGGACCCAGACACAGGTTGTGACCTGAGCCTGATGTTCTGTTGTGATACCCAATTGGGTTCTAAGTAAAGCAACAAGGTAGAGCAGGTGGCAAAGGGGCAGCAAAACAGATTTTACTGCCTACTTTACCTAAATCAAGTTTCTTGTTCAGGCTTCTGCCAGGAGGGGTGTGTGGCAAACCCCTCCCTGTGGTCACTTCTTGCCAAACTCATCCCTATCCCTTACAAAGCACATGCAGCTTGATTCTCACTTATCCATTGCATTTCGAGCAGCAGAGAAGGAACTCCCAAGGTTTCTGTGCTATCGCACCTTGAATCCAGGGAAGGTAGGGGGACTAAAAGCCCTCTTAAAGCCCTGAAATACAGGCATCTAGACTGGAGCCTTTTCCACCTTATATGCTGCAGTTGCTTTTACAGGTTCTGGCTCATAAAGGCCAGCAAGAGCATCCACAAGCAGAATAAGCTAAATAAGGAACAAGGTTGCCGAATAAACCAGGTTTGTTTTCCCAGGCCACTATGTGTGCCTATGTCATACCAGCACCCCAGGAGACTCCCATCTCAAGATCGTGCTTCGCAATTTCCAGAAACCAGATAGAAGCCTTCCCCCAGGTAGCAGCTCCCTACTATTGCAAGAGGCAGGACACAAGAGCGACAGGTCAGGGGAGAAGAGCCAAGTTTATGAAGGGGTTCAGATAACATCTAGCTAGCATCAGCTAGTATTTCCTTGAAACCCTCCCCATCTGCACAGATGGGAGGCCAAGCTCCTGGTCCAGCACTCAGACATGGGTGCAGCTCACCTCTCTCTGAAG